ACATGGGAGGGTAGCAGCACGACAATGACTGCCGAAGATCGACAAAAAGACGTTGATGATAGGAATGAACAAAGGAGTCGCTATTAGTTTTGAACGGAGGATTCAGCGCCAAGAAATCACATAACGTCATACATGATTCAACAAGAACGTCACTGACAGCTAATGGACGCAACCAGGAGTCAGCTGATGAGGCTACCAGGAACACACACACCACTAACGAAGCGCGAGGGTTCAAACAAACTCACACAAAGCGGATGGAAGCTAGTTTACGCCGGTGTCAACTCAATGACCCGTACTCAGGCCAATAATGATATTCCAGCAGAACCCAATGTGGCTGACGGAATCATTGAATGAAAGCCTGTCAGCGGAAGAGCTGCAATCCTCAGACTGAAGTCACAATAGCCTAAAGCGTTGATCTCGTTACATATCTATGTGCCCAATTCAGAGGAAGAATATGAGCCCTTCGTAGGTGCTCTGTAAGAAATGACAACTACGGAACATATCATTCTGATGAGCGACTGAATATTTTATATTGTTTCATATCATCAAATATATTTTGGAGCAAAAAACATGATTGGAAATTCGCCATGGTGATCGCAAACAATAAAGGTATGAAGCTATTGCGCTTTGGTGCAAAAAACAGACTATGCTATGGGCACTACTTTCAGCCATCGAAACATGTATCAGTTTACGTCGTATAGCGAAGCCTGGGCATAGAAGCTGATGATCGATTTGATTATGGTATCATCTGATTTACGACGTTTCAACGAATGTTTGGGCTAACAGAGGGGAAAAGCTGTCAACCGATCATCACCCTGTTGTTGGACCTTCTGCAGCAAACGACAGAGTAGCACCAAAAACTTCTCGACTGAAGGAACAAAGAAATTAGATGGAAATAATTGCTCTGCAGATAGGAAAGAGAAACTAATAAATAACAGTGCAACACGGCCATAGATTTCGGTCATAAGAACTGGCGTGAAAACAGGGTGGAATCTCTTTGAGGGCGGCTTATACTACCGTCGAATGCACATGTTCAAACTGAGTTGGCATGCCGCTGAGGGTCAAAAACTAACTTTTGGGTGGACACATGGGTTCAACTAGTTGTCAACACGAAGCCTGCATTCGAGAGGTAAATTCGAAGCAAAAAACTTTCAACTCGAATGCGGTACAATAAAGTACGTTAGGTAGCACCGAAAGCAGTGATATGAGCGAACGTCCATTCTTGGGAAAAGTTCAATGGCGAGCATTAGCAGAATTTCCTGAAGGCAAATAAGCAATTCTGGCAGATAATTCTCCTCTTTAGAGATAGGAAGAAGGGCAGTTGAGAGTCTTGAAGGACAAGTCTCGATTCCTTATTATCAGAGAAGAGGAAATAAATCGGTGATACAAAGGGTACTTTAACGAAGTCCTTAATCCCGAACAACCGCAGGACGACTTTCGTTGAGAGCAGCATGCAGCAGATAAACGAATCACAGAATCTATAAAATGTGTGAAAACTGGAAAAGCTTCTGGAATCGATGAAATCCGCTTATAGCTTTAGGCGAACAAGATATGCTGTGGCTAAAACATATCCACGACACATTAGTTGATACGAGGAATTTACCAGTAGACAACAGAACGTGGGTTGTGGTGTCCCTGTCTAAGAATAGAGAAGATAACTAGTAGTTCAATTATCGGAACATTTCCTTACTCAACCGGCCGAAAAAAAGTCGACGCAAAGCTGTTTGAAAGGAGGTGCCTCGGAATGACGGATTCTATTCAGGTTAGGCGGAAGCACATCCAACCAGATATTCGTCCTACTCTAAACTGTAGACAAATCGTGGGAGTTCGCTCGTCCAGTTTATCCCGTGGACCTAGAGAAAGCCCATGATCAAATCCCGCGCGACAGTCTTGGGTATGCCAGCGAACACACAGGATCGATGGCCAGTTGCTACTGGCCCTTCAGTCACAATATGCTGGTGACAAGTAGTCCGTCAAAACAAATGGCGTTAAGTCGAAGGCTTTAAGCGTTAGCGCTGGTCTCCGCCAAGGCTGCGTCCTGTCCCCTGTACTGTTTGTGTTGTACATGGATAGAATAGTCAGGAGCTGCCAAGACCATGAGGGTATCGGTATAGGAGATG